CACTGCTTAATTGGTCGGCTTAACCTCAGAAACACTTTTTCTGAAGCCATACGCATCAACAAAACAAATGACTTCTGCTCAGTCTGTTTCTTCATTTTACTTCCAAATTAGAGCCTTCAGAGAGTGTATCTTATTGGTGGAAATGAGGCCAGGTTGGCAAGGGAGACTGGGAAATGTAGTTTTAAAAGCTCAGCCTTAAGAAGATGAAAATTGCCCAGCCAGAATGGCTCAGTTGGTTGCCCTCCATGCACCAAGAGGTCACCATTCAATTCCTGGTCAGGACAAATGCCTAGGTTGTGGGCTCAATCTGCAGTAGGTGGTGTGCAGGAGGCAGCTAATCAATGTTTCTCTCTCATTGATGTTTCTGTCTTTCGCCTTTTCCCTTCCTCTCTCTGAAATAAATAAGAACATTTTTTTTTTTTAAAGAAGAGAATTACAGTTGTGATGAGCCAGCCTACTTCATGATTCCAAGACGTGCAATTGGCATTATATACATGTTTATAGTATTGTATTACAATCTTTTGTATTTCTGTGGTGTCAGTTGTTATTTCTCCTCTTCCATTTCTGATTTTATTTGGGTCCTCCTTGTTTCTTGATGAGTCTGGCTAATGATTCATCTATCTTGCTTATCTTTTAAAAAAATCAGCTCTTGATTTCATTGATATTTTTTATTGTTTTTTTTTCGGTCTCTGTGTCATTTATTTCCACTGGCAAAGTAGCAAGATACAAAATTAACATCCAAAAAATAATGGCATTTCTATACACCAATAATGAACTCTCAGAAAGAGAAACTAAAAAAAAATTCCATTTACCATTGTAACAAAAGAAATAGGATACCCAGGTATGAACTGAACCAAGGTAAAAGACCTGTTCTTGGAAAAGTGTGGGGCATTGAAAAAAAGAAATAGAGGAAGATACAAACAAGTGGACGCATATACTGTGTTCATTGATTGGAAGAATTAGCATCATTAAAATGTCCATACTACCTAAAGCAATCTACAGATTCAATGCAATCTGGGACAATAATTAATTAAAATTTCATCAGCATATTTCACAGACCTGGAACAAATATTCCAAAAATTTATATGGAACCAAGAAAGGCCCATAATAGCAGCAGCAGTGATCTTGAGAAAGAACAAAGTGGAGGGATCACAATATCAGATATAAAACTATACTACAAAGACATTGTAATCAAAACAGACTGGTTCTGGCACAAGAACAGGCATATAGATCAATGGAACAGAACAGAGACCCCAGAAATTGACCCACACCATTATGGTAAATTAATATTTGACAAAGGAGGCAAGAGTATTAAATGAAGAAAAGATAGTCTCTTCAATAAATGGCATTGGAAAAATTGGACAGGTGCATGAAAAAAAAAATGAAACTAGACCACCAACTCACACCATACACAAGAATAAACTCAAAATGGAAAAAAGACTTAAATGTGCTACTATGTCATGAAAACATAAAAATCCTCACATTGCAGAATTTTCACTGACACATCTCCTAGGGTAAGAGGAACAAAGGAAAAAGAAACATCAAGTAAAAAGATTTTGCACAGCAAAAGAAACCATCAACAAAATGAAAAGGGAGCCCACTGTATGGGAGAACATATTCACCAATGATACTTTTGATTAGGGGTTAATTTTCAAAATATACAAAGAACTCATGCAACTCAACGCCAGGAAGACAAACAATCCAATTTAAAAATGGGCAGAGCACCTGAATAGACACTTCCCCAAAGAGGACATACAAATGGCCGAGCAACATATGAAGAAAATGCTCACCATTACTAACCGTCAGAGAAATGCAAATTAAAACTACGATGAGATATCACCTCTCACCGGTCTACCATCAATGGCTACCATCAATAAATCCACAAACAAGTGCTGGGGAGGATGCGGAGAAAAAGGAACCCTCCTGCACTGCTGGTGGGAATCAGACTGGCACAGCCACTGTGGAGAACAGAATGGAGTTTCCTCAAAAAATTAAACATGGAACTGCCATTTGACCCAATGATCCTACTTCTAGGAATATATCCTAAGAAACCCAAGCACCAATCAGAAAGAATGTGTGCACCCCTATGTTCATAGCAGCACAGTTTACAATAGCTAAGATCTGGAAACAGGCCACTGCCCATCAGCAGATGAGTGACTAAAAAAGCCTTGATACATTTATACCATGGGATACTTTGCAGCTATAAAAAAGGAGGGTATCTTACCCTTTGAAACAGCATGCTGGGACCTGGAGAATATTAAGCTATGCGAAATAAGCCAGTCAAAGAAACACAAAGGTCACATGATCTCATTCATATGTGGAATCTAACGAACAAGACAAACTGATGAACAAAACAGAACCAGAGACATGAATACATGGAACAGACTGACTGATCTTGGAGGGAAGGGAGAAGGCAGGGGGGTGGCGGGAAGAGATTAATCAAAGAGCATCTGCATAACCATGGACACAGGCCATACCATGGGAAAGGCCTGGGTGGGCAGAAGCTGGGTAGAGTGTGGCAAAGGGGTGAAATGGGAGGATCTGGAATACTGTCAATAATAAAAGTAAATTTAAAAAATAATGATGCATCTTACAGTTAATGGCAAGTTAGTTTTGATCAGTGGTTCTCAACCTTTCTAATGCTGCAACCCTTTAATACAGCTCCTCATGTTGTGGTGACCCCCAACCATAAAGTTATTTTTGTTGCTACTTCATAACTGTAACTTTGCTACTGTTATGAATTGTAATGCAAATATCTGTGTTTTCTGATGGTCTTAAGCTCTACAGAAGCGGTTGGCCCAGGCCAGGCTGCGGCTGGGGGTAGAGAAGCTGTGCCCAGGGGACTGAGCTCAGAGGTCCTGAATCAGATGGCTCAGCAGTGCGGGCTGGCCCTGCCTCCGCCCAGAATGCTGCATGCACTGCTTTGGAAACCACCCTCCCGTCACTCCATCACTGGGTCTGGGTCTGCGCAACAGGAGGCTCTTCCCAGGAGGAAATTCCTGCCTGAGTCCTGCAGGGGGATCCAGGGGCAGGGGCGGGTGGGAGGCGGGAGGGGAGTATTCCTCTAGGGCCGGTGGACAGGCAGGGACCGGCTCCCCCTCCCGCCTTCTTCCTTCCCTCTGTGCCTTGCACATTTCAGCAGCTGGCATACCCTGTTGAACCTCAGCTTCCCCACCTGCAAATGGGCATTCAAGCCCCACCTCCCATGGCTATTGAGGGTGCCAGCCGGAGCAGGTATTCCAAAAGTAACAGCTGGGACACAAGTTTCTTCCCCCAGGGAATTCAGGTGAGGAAAATAGATGGCTTTTCAGGATTAGACATTTTGAGGCCCTGCACCCTCTTTCCTCTTAGCCCCCACCAAGCAGCTCTCCTCGTGGTGGGCCCTGGGTGCGGACCCTGGGAACGGGCACAGCCTGTCCCGGGAAGGGCCATGGCATCTGGTAGATGTGAGCTGCTGCTGCCTTCAGAGGCCTGGGGCCTCCTCACCTGCCTTTTCCGAAGGGGTGGCATCCTCTCCAGGCAAAGCCCGTGAGCTCGGTGCTGGAGCCGGGCAGACAGGCCCTCCTCTCCCCTCTGCAGCCACACGCAGGGCCTGCATGGCCCGGCCTGGGCAGAGACTTAGCAATCACTCTACTAATGAAACATTTCAGGTCCCTGAACATGGGAATCAAACTGTGACCTCCTGGTTCATTGGTAGACACTCAGCCTCCGAGCCTCGCAGGCCAGCCGGGCAGGGTCAGACTCTAGAGCTCTGGCCTTGACTGTGGCTCCCGGAGCAGTGCAGTCCCCGCAGGGCTGGGGCGGAGGGCTGGCTGCTCACAGTCCTTCCTCGAAGGGGAACAAGGGGCACTTCTCATTGTCCTCATAGGGCAGAAGAGCAGGGCGTGTGAGAGCTACTCAGGGTAAGTGTCTTGCAGCTGTGACAGGAGGGAGGGGAGCTGAGAGAACAGAGAGGGGAGTTGGGGGTTCTGGCCCAGGTCTCCATGTGACTTCACTTCCTTTGACTAACACTCAGGCACAGAACGTGGTGCTATGGCTGTCCACACTTCTTCCAGACTGATCTTTACTAAAGGCAAATCAGATATACCTAAGAGACCCAGAATACAACCCCAGCTCCGGGCAGGGTCTGCTGTGCCCCCCGGGTCTGTCCTGCCGGCCTCTCCCACCTCAGGCCCTCAGCTCTGGCTCTGGTCACCCAGCCCAGCCATGCTAAGGGTATGCTCTGGGGCCTTGGGGTCGCTGTTGCCTCTTCCTGGAACCACTTTCCCTCCAGGTGCTCACAGAGATGATGCGTCCTCAGCTCAAGGCCACCTCCTCCAGGTGACATTCACACACCGGGCCATCCCTTTTCTCACATTCATCCCACAAACGCCCAGAAGCACCTACTGCCACGTCCCAACGCGCCTTCCTGGCAGCGGAGCTAACAGGGCGAGCGGGAGTTAGCCCTTGCCTCTGGAGCTTACATTCTAAGATAAGGTGACCAGACGTCCCGATTTCTAACAATGTGTCCCGCGTCCCGCGGCGTTAAAAAAAAAAAAGTCCCGATTTTTGGAGAGAATCTCTTTTAAAACGCCGCGGGACGCGGGACACATTGTTTGAAATCGGGACTGTCCCGCCCAAAGCGGGACGCCTGCTCACCTTACTCTAGGAGGAGATCCGCGCACAACTAAAAGGAAAGCCCACGGGTGCGGAGTGTGAGTGTGATACCCAGGGCGCGTGGGAGCGGAGGGGCTGGGTCTCGGTGCTGACCTGGTGCTCGGCGCGGCCGCTTCGCCGCGGTGCCCTCGGCCGGCGCTGAGCGGAGGAGGCGCGGGAGGCCGTCCAGCGCCGTCTGTCCGCACGCACCGCCCCTCCGGCCGCCCTCGGGCCGGCACCGCGGCTCCGGGGAGGGCGGCGGGGCGGCAGGTGCGGCGGCGGGCGGGTGAGCGCAGCCCCGCCCCCGGCCGCCCATAAAGGCGCGGGCCGGCGGCGCGGAGCGGCCGGGGCGGCGCGCTGCAGCCATGCTGTTCTGGCACACGCAGCCCGAGCACTACAACCAGCACGGCGCCGGCGGCTACCTGCGGTGAGAGGACACAGCGCGGGGGCCCGGGGACGGACGGACGGACGGACGCCGGCGGGTCCGGGCGCGCGGTGTCGGGGGCCTGGTGCCCTGGTGCCCGGGGTGGGGGGCGCCTCCCCGAAGGACCCCCGGGCGGGGCGCGGGCCTGCTGGCCTCAGCCCACTCCGGTGCCCCTGCCCGGCGCCTTCCCCCGGCGTCGGAGGCTGCCCCGGGGAGCCCAGCCCTGCTCGGCCCCGCTCCCCCGCCCCTCTCCGGTCTCCGGTCTCCCCAGGCCCGTGGCCCGGCCGGGGGTGGGTGTGAGGCGCGCCCCGCACCTCAGCCTCGCGGCGCCGGGGGCTCGGGCGGCCGGGGCCCTCGCTCCGGGGGTCCTGCGCACCTGCCCCGGGGCCCGCACCCTCCCGCCCTGAGGGGAGTCCTCCTCGGGCTGGTGCCCTCCAAGGGGAAGCAGCCTCCGGTGTGCGGAGCCCTCTCGGCCCCGGTGTGCGGGGTCCCCCTCCCCGGGAGGCTGCTGGCCGCCGTGCAGCGGGCGGCGCCGGTGCCGCCTTCACTCAGCCCCTCTGGCCGGTCTCTGTGCCACCCCGGCCGCGGTTTGTGAAATGTGCCGGGTTTAAACCCCAACGGCATTCGGTGCGGTGCAGAGGACGCGGGCAGCGGGGCCCAGGGGTCTCAGCCACTGAGCCCCCAAGTGAGAGCCACCGGGAGGGTCTTTTTTCTTCTTTTCCTCCAAGAAGTTTCCCTCCAGATTTAGTTGTGAATCTGGTTTCTGACAGACATCTGTCCAGTAGTCCTCCTTGTAGACACCGCCTTCTAGAAGGCGAAGGAACTACAGGGGCTGTGTCTGCGGGGCTTTACTCCTGGGGGAGCCGGCGGCAGGAGCCTGGGTCCCGCAGACCCTGTGGTGTCAGAGCGAAGGGCTCCGGGGACTTGTGCGCCGCGGATGTTACTCCATGTTCACTTACAAAATGTTACTTTTTTTTTTTTTTTAATTACTGCACGTAGCAGTTTCAGGCATAGTTTTGCCTAAGTTAGTTTGTGGTCGTTAAGCTTGTGCCATAACCTTAAAAATGATTCTGAAGGTGACCTTGAATGGAGGGTGAGTGTATGTAAATCTTCCCGGATACCTAAAATGTCATCCCATTACAGAAAAATTCCCTTTGCATGGGAGGCGCCTCTGCCATTGAGATGGAAATTTGTCTTTGGAGTCCCTGAGGTACCTTTTAGGACTTTGGTATGGGGGGAGGAGGGAGAGATTGGGGTGAAAGGAGCTATAAAGCCACATTGGTTTCTGGGATCATTTTGGGTCCATAAAGAAGCATTTGATCCATGCCCCCTTTTAAAGTCTTTTTTTTTTTTTTTTTTTTTTTATAATTCTGAAGATTTTTTTTTTTTTTTTGAGAGAATGGAAGGTAGAGAGGGAGGGAGAGAGAGAAACATGGATGTGGGAGAGACACTGATTGGTTGCCTCCTGCCCCTACGGTGGCCTGGGATTGAACCTGCAACCCAGGTAGTGTCCTTGACGGGGGATTGAACCCGTGACCCTTCAGTGCACAAGCTGACGCTCTAATCTACTGAGCACATTGGCCATATCCATGCCACTTTTAATTTTTTTGTTGTTGTTAATCCTCACCGGAGGATATTTTTCCATTGGTTTTTTAAGAGAGAGTGGAAGGGAGGGGAAGAGTAAGAGAAATGATGTGAGAGAGAGACATCCATAGGTTGCCTCCCACACATGCCCCCACCCCGGCCAGGGATCAAGCCTGCAGCCGAGGTGCACATAACCCCCTGTCAGTCAGAATCCTTGATCGGAATCGAACCTGGGACCCTCAGTCAGGCGGCTGACACTTTGCACTGAACCAAATGGGCCAGGGCCCTGCCCTTTTTGAAAAATTTCCCTTCTTGGAAGCTAGAGTTTTCACCTCGTAGAAGTTGACCTCAACGAAGGCCAAGGTGAGGGGTGGTGACATTCCCTCGTTCCCCAGCTCTCCGTGAGGGTCTTGCCTTTTTCCTGGGCTTTTCTGTCTGGCTGCCTCCTCACTGCGGAGCCACAGCGGCAGTGGCTTCAGGCAGTGGCCTTGCCGCCTCCTTTGCCTCCTCTGTTTGGTGTTCTCGTGACTGTTACTCCTGGGCAAATCAGGGTGCCGGGCTGGAAACGAGTTGCTGTCGAGTGATGGCTCTTCCCCCCCCCCCCGCTCCCTCCCCCCCCTTTTTTGTGTGTGTTTAGAGGCAGCAGCCCATGGATTATTAATTTAGATGGTTTGGCGAACATGAAATCATGCGATCCCAGGGGAGCCAGCCTGCGGCTCTTCCTCGGTTCCTAGACACCGCGGGCCGCCCCGCAGGAAAAGGAGGGGTGCGGGCCGCCCTGCAGGTGCTCCCAGCCCGGCTTTCCTTCTGAGAATTGTTGGACATTGCTGGGTGTGTGCTGGGCTTGTGTTTTAGAGACATGCGTTTATGGTGCGTGTGAGGAACACACTGTACCGGCGACTGCTGTTTATACAGCGCAGCGGGCCGGGAATCTGATTCATAGCCCGGCTCACGGGGGGTTATCAAGATAAGGGCGCTGGCACTTTCCTGGCACCTGTTTTCCTGCTGCTCCTAATGTGGAGCCTTAAACAAGCCTGTCCACAGGTCATTCGTGTCCTCAAGGATTTCTCTTCCACTTGCAAGGGCATTTAGAAATACATCTGGAAACAAGTTGTCCAGGCGTGGGCTGATGGGAAGCGGATTTTGGGGGGATATGGAGAGGATTTTGGTTCAGAAGTGGAGGAAAAGAATTGCTGAGCATCTTACCATTTCCTGTTTGCATAAGAAAACCGAATTGAAATCAAGGTCCTTTCTTCTTGTTTTGCATTTAGGAGATATCAGCATGACCCTTCACGTAGGCGTTATGGGCCCGCTGTCCTTTTTATTTTTGAAGGGTGGGGGGATGTCTCAGCAGTTTCTGTATTTTCAGAGCCCCACGGACAGCGTTGTATTATTCTGAGTAGTGGCCAATAAATAGAATAGTTTATTTAAGCAATTAAAATATTTGTTCAGAGTTGTATTCTAAAAGCAAGACTTTATAATGTCTTTCTTGTCTTTCTTATGGGTGGAGGCCAAATGGCGTCTAAGGTTCAGGCCGGTGCTGGGAGTCCCATCATCACAGAGAAGACTCCTGTCATTTGCAGCGTCAGATGACGTTGCATTGTCCCCTCATTAATAACCTGATGGCATACATCTCCGGCGGGTCACGGAGAGAGGAGAGTCACCGCAGGGCGGTCTGCTCTCTCGGGAAGGGCTGGCGGTTGGGGCGCGGGAAGCTGACCGGGTCCCGGCCGTGTGCTTGGCCGGGCCGCCCCGGAGGCCGCGGTCTGGTCCGCTTCTCCCAGCCTGGCCGTCCTTGCCCGCGGCCCCGCTCCTCACCGCCCCTCCGCTGTGTGTTGCAGGGATGTGCTCGCTCTGCCCATCTTCAAGCAGGAGGAGCCCCAGCTGTCCCCCGAGACCGAGGCGCGCCTGCCGCCCCTGCAGTACGTGCTGTGTGCCGCCACGTCCCCGGCCGTGAAGCTGCACGAAGAGACGCTGACCTACCTCAACCAAGGTGGAGGCCGGGCTCCGGGCGGGCAGCCGGCGCGAGCCGCCTGCCCCGAGGGGGCGGTGGCCAGTCACAGATTTGGGTTTCTTTATCTGGTCGCAGCGGGAGAGGTGGGGGTCAGGAAGGAGGCTGTGGTATCTGATTGATCGCATTTCCTGCAGTGAGACTCGGTGGAGCCTCTGCTTTTATCTGGAAAATGGACACAGCAGCCCTGTTGTTCCTGGGGCCAGATAGGGAAACATTCCCAGGGCCGGCCAGCCAGTTGGTGTAATTACTGTTTACTGTGACCTGCTGAGCCCTTTCCTGGACAGAGGCTAAGCCCGGGGCTGTCTCCGTGGGGGTCCGAGCAGCGGCGGGAGACAGGCGCGCGTGGGGCTGATTCCCGGCGGACAGAGTCCTCCGTGGCCACAGGAACGGGCGCCTCGTGTCCTGAGGGGAACGGCGTGGGCTCGGCAGTTCCCTGTGACGGGAGCTGCCTTTCCTGTTCTCCGAGCCGCCGTTCCCGCGTGTAAAGCGGGAGGTGTAATCTGTGGGTAAAGAGTGGAGTGTGTGGAGGGCGGCGGTGACAGTGGCTTCTCTGTAACGTCTGGCTCCCTTTCCAGGACCCGGATCGGGGTTCTGAGGGTGGCGTTTGTGTGGTGTCTCTGTGGTTATGTGTGTGTGTTTACTGCATCCTTCCTGGTCACCGAAGTGGGTTAATTGCCCCTCAGTTTACAGGGGGAGAGCAGAGGGGCAGGGGCTCAGTTTCTGGGGTGGCCGGTGGAGGGAGCATAGGGAAGGGGGCACAGTTCTGGGGTGGCCGGTTGGGGGGAGCATAGGGGAGGGGACACAGTGGTTTCTGGGGGTGGCCAGTTGGGGGGATCTGTAGGGGTGGCTGGTTGGAGGGAACTGTAGGGGTGGCTGGTTGGGGGGAGCGTAGGGAAGGGGACACAGTTTCTGGGGTGGCCGGTTGGGGGGTGCTGTAGGGATGGCCGGTTGGGGGGAGCTGTAGGGATGGCCGGTTGGGGGGAGCTGTAGGGGTGGCCGGTTGGGGGGTGCTGTAGGGATGGCTGGTTGGGGGGAGCTGTAGGGGTGGCCGGTTGGGGGGAGCTGTAGGGCAGGGGCACAGGGACTGGTGTGCTAGCAGTTCCTCAGCAGCCGGCTCTTTCTGTGGAACTTGGACTCCTCCTTGGGAAGCCGGCAGGGGTGGAAGTCCAACCTGATCAGCCGGCTCCCTGACGCTGAACTGGCTGGGACGAGGCAGGATAGCAGGTGTCTCAGCGGAGGCCGTGCTTATTCCTGTGGCTGCAGCAGAGCCCAGCGCGGTCCGCCCGGGCGCTGGCTCAGGCCCTGAGGTCTGTGCCGTCTGTGCGGTGGCCATTGATGGGGTGGCGACGCCTCGGGAGCTCTTGTGCACCTGCTGGTTTGGGAGGACTCCGCCATTGTCCTCTCTCTCTCACAGAGTCACAGCTCTGTGCCTTCAGCAGCGGCTGCATGTCTGCCGGGATGTAGCCAGAGAAAAGGAGGGCGTTACAGTTCCCTCCCCCTCCTGAGGTGTGAGGAGGGAGTGGGCAGCACCCGCCCCCTGCCTCCCCACCTCCTCCCACTCCTCCGCCTTCAATCCTCCGACTTCAATCCGTCAACTTTGGACAGTCAACATACCAGGGTTTTTAAGAGTTTGCCCTTTGCTCAGCACGGATAAGGAAAAGGAGAGGGAAGAAGAGTTGGCCCATGGTCTTACCATTCTGTGTTAATTTGAAACTAGTGTGTTTACTTTGGCTGTTTTAAGCAACATTTTCCTGATTAAAATAATACATATTCATTAATTTTTTTGGATGATTTAGAAAAGTAGAAGGAGGAAAACTGAAAGAAAAATAAAATCAAAATCTCTACTCAAGAACCACTGCTAACCTTGTTTCTACTTATTCATATAAGCATCTTTGACAGTGATGATCCTGCTGCAGACATGGGTCCCTGTTTTCTTATTTACTCCATTTGTGAGCTTCGTTTCCTGTTTTAAAATCCTTATCCGAGGGTGTGCTTTCATGGATTTGAGAGAGAGACATCACCTGTTGCCTCCCACATGTGCTCAGACCAGGCATCGAACCCTCAACCTGGGTCTGTGCCCTGACCTGCAGCCTTTTGGTGCACGGGTGACGCTCCAGCCAGCCAAGTCGCCCTGTGGGGCTGTTCGTGGGATTTCTCATGTCGTCAAACATGCTTTGAGAACTTAAGTTTTGTGCTGGCTGCACAACACCGTACTTTGTGTTGGTTGTTATCCAGTTTCACAATAGGACACAGTTTCCAGTTGTCTTTGTGTGAACTGTTGATTATTTATTTACTTCTAAACACAGACTTCAGAAGTAGAACTAAGGTTCCGGAGTCAGAGGGTCTGAGGAAGGCTATGACACAGTAACCATGGTGCCTTCTCAGGAGCCGGTATGCATCTCCACCGGAGCATGGCACTGCCTCCTGGACTGGGCATCGGCATTTCCCTTCTGATTAGTGAGCATAGCACTTAATGTCACACTAGCATTTCTGTCGTTGCTAACATGATTGGATATGTGATCTTTTTTATTTTTCCATCTGTTTTGTTCTGTCCTTTGCACTTTTCCCTATCAGGTTGTTATATCTTAGGGATTATAAGATACACCATATATGAAGTCCACCTAGCTGCTGTACATTGCAACATTTTCCCTGTTGGTTGCTGGCTGTTGAACTATTTTCTTGTATGAGAACTATATTTATGGTGTGAGGTATATGTCATGGTTTCTTAATTTTCTGTGTAGAAATTTATTTTAAAGGGTTATTGTCAACTGTTTGTCTTTTTAAATGGTTTTTATTTTTATGCTTAGAATGCCTACTAACCCCAGTTTAGTAATTTTATAAGTTTTATTTAATGGTCTTTATATTTTAACATTGCAATTTTTTTGGAAACTTAATAATTTTTCACTTGATGATACTTTGAATTATCCTAATACTAGTGGTCCATTGCAGGAAAATTCCTGCAGTCTGCTGTGGTTGCTGCCCTGCCCGCTTTCCTCCTTTCTCGGCCGCCCCGCTTGCTTCTCTGCAGGTTTGCTCCCTTCTGCAGGCTTGATATGCAAACTAACTGTCACCTTGGTTAGGTTAATTTGCATACTTGCCCTGATTGCCTGGTGGGTGTGGCTTGTGTAGCGGAGTGATGGTTAATTTGCATATTACTCTATTATTAGGTTACATATAAAAAGCCAGGGGCTGTCACGACCTAAATGACCAGATGGTTGGCTGAATAGCAAGCTGCGTGGGCCGCCCAGGCCAGCAGGGGGGTTAGTGAGGGATGACCAAATGACTGAACAGCAGGCTGTATGGGGTGACCAGACTTGCAGGAGATCAGCTGGGGGCGACCAGACTGGTGGGGGGGGGGCAGCTGGGGGCAACCAGGCTGGTAGGGGATAGTAAGGGGCAACCAGGCTGGTGGGAGGGCAGTATAGGGTGACCAGGTTGGCAGGGGGGAAAGTTAGGGGCAATAGGCAGGCAGGCAGGAGCCAGTGGTCCCAGATTGTGAGAAGGATGTCCAAATGCCGGTTTAGGCCTGATCCCTAAACTGGCATTTGGACTTCCCCTAAGGGGTCCCGGATTGGAGAGGGTGCAGGCTGGGCTGAGGGGGTCCCGTCCCCCTGTGCATGAATTTCATGCACTGGGCCTCTAATCTATAATAATAAAAGTAGCCGAAACCAGTTTGGTTCAGTGGATAGAGCGTTGGCCTGTGGACTGAAAGGTCCCAGGTTCAATTCCGGTCAAGGGCATGTACCTTGGTTGTGGGCATATCCCAAGTAGGGGGTGTGCAAGAGGCAGCTGGTCGATGATTCTCTCTCATCGATGTTTCTAACTCTCTATCCCTCTCTCTTCCTCTCTGTAAAAAATCAGTAAAATATATTTTTAAAAAATAATAAAAGTATAATATGCTAATTAGACTGGATGTCCTTCCAGATGACCTTCCGGACAAAGCTGGGCCCACGAGGGAACTCCAGGTCCCAGGTGCGGCAGCTGGAGGGAAGCCCAGGTCCCAGGTGCCAAAGGGAAGCCGGGGCCAGCAGCCGGGGGAAGGAAAGCCTACTCTTGCATGAATTTAGTCTATAATAATAAAAGCGTAATATGCTAATTAGACCAGACATCCTTCCAGATGACATTCTGGACAAATCCAGGGCTGTGAGGGAAGCCCAGGCCCCTGGTGCCAGAGGGAAGCAGTGTTGGCAGCTGGGGGAAGGAAGGCCCACTCTTGAATTATCCTATATAATAAAAGGCTAATATGCAAATAGACCAAAATGGCAAAACGACCAGTCGCTATGATGCTCGATGACCACTAGGAGGCACATGATCAATGCAGGACCTTCCCCCCGGTGGGCAATTATGGAATGATGGCGCAGGTCCCGGATCAATTGCATCACACCCACCAGTGCATGTCATAGCATGGTCTTCTGGAAGGTTCTGTTGTTCGGTCCTTTGGTCGATTTGCATATTATGCTTTTATTATTATAGATTATAAGAGATTATTTTTAAAAAACTATATATATTTTGATTTTTTTACAGAGAGGAGGGGAGAGAGATAGAGAGTTAGAAACATCGATGAGAGAGTCATCAATCAGCTGCCTCTTGCACGCCCCCTACTTGTACTAACATTTTCTGCCATTATCACAGCCTCTTAAACATTGTTTACTATGTCTGTATGTTGTTTTACTATTTCCGTGTATTATTTCTGACAGAATATTGTCATGACTGCTGGGTGAAAACATATAGTGTGATTATTTTAGTGCCTATCTCCCGTAATAGAACGAAGCTCTGTGAGGGCTTTTTAACATTACATCCCCAGCATTAAGCTTGATAGTAAGTGCTCTATGCATATTCACAAAATTAGAAATTAGACATGGGTTATTCCATTTTATTTCTCTCTCCTTTTGTTGCTATTCTCATTATGCTGTACTGGGCATCTTTTCAACATGCCTTATTCAAAGTAGCCTATATATCTGTATCATGCAACACAGGCA